TATCGCCCAACTATAAAAATAGTGCAATCCCGGTTGCGCAGCATGCTTTCCCTGCCGAGAAAATCGCTCTCAAACTTACACGCGCAGGCCAATCTTACACGCATCTGGACGAGTTGCCAATTTCCTTCTCACGATTGGAGGCTGCCCGCCGCAACGCTATAACTATTGGGTCCTGCAACGATTTAGCGTTACCAGCCTTGCTCCACTCGTCACTCCAAAGGGAAGGGCATTAAAAACGCTTATTTTCGCCGTTTTCAAGCTTTCAAAAGTGGATTTCAGGGATCAGCGTATAACCCCAGGTAAGCGCAAATTTGACTATGCTAAGATTTTCCGAGCCACTGCCTTTAAGGTACCATTGAGTGAGGTCCAACTTAGATTTGCAGTATGGAGCGAATTACCAATCACTCCTCATTACTGTAGGATTATGGCATGAATTTTCAGCATACAGCATCACTGTACAGTAGCCCTTTCGGTAAATAATTTAAATAAAATCTGAAAGTTTGTGTTACAAGGTTTTCAGGCTTGCCGATTTCACTAAATAATTTTTTACGAGTCTTTCGAGCCTCTTTAATTGCGTATTGCGTAATTAGTATTTACATTCAAGACGAACATTGAACAAAAATTGTTCCGTTAAATCTGAAATAACTTATGGAAGAAGGCTAGACTGAAGTGCGAATTTCATATTTAGAATCAGCGACTTCGATTAGCTTAAGAGTTTCTGGCTTGTTTGGCTTTCAGTCTGAGGCAAAATACCGCTTTCAATGGTCTAAAATCCTCCTCGAATTTTCTACCGTAATCCTACAGTAATCAAGAGCGATTGGTAATTCGCTTCATACTGTAAGTCCAAGTTGAACTTTGCTCTACCCGAAACAAGCACAAACATATATTTTATGTTCTCGTCTTTCTAGCTAGGCAAACACCTTGTTGAACGACTGTTTCTGTAAAAAGTAATAATTTTCTAAGAATTTGCTATACGTTTCCATGAAAATCAAAATTGCTCTTCCTTAGCACAAAAATCTTTAGCTAGAAAGAAAAGGGCACACAACCCCTGTTCTTGGCTTTTCCGCCTTTTTTGTGACGTTTTTGGGCTTTTTTGGGCATGCTCAAAAATTGCAAAACTGAAGTAATTCTCTTTATTTGCTTATGACTTTCGATCTTTTTCGTTCTAATTCGTGGGAAAGGCACTGTAGTAAAAAGCATAATTCTCGCTACCAAACAATAATACTTTCGGAATTTTTCGTGATCCAGCTCAAAAGCCAATCTTGAGTAAATTTATTCAATTGCTTCTAACTCTCGAACTTTCTCACGCCATTTCATGACAAAGATACTATTGTAAAGAGAAAGGTTTCTTCTTCCAAATGAAAACTAATACGAGAGATTCCACCAAGAAATGAGGAGGTTATGATTTTTTAAAAAGCTGGCGAACGAACTTTTGAAATGACCTAATACATTAGGTCGTTTCAAAAGTAATTTCGCTTTTTTCAAACGGGCACCACATGCGACGGAACAAAGGCTTCTAAAAGATCTTGAAAGCATTCGATGCAGAATTTCATTCTCTTTCAAATGGTTATGAAACTGTTGCAAAACAGTCAATGAGCTTTCAGAAAATGACCAAAATTTGCGACCCATGCTTTTTGAGATGGTCAAGTTTCACGATTTTTTAAAACTTTCATATCAATCCTCAAAGGGGAGTAAATCTTATAGAATACAGTACTACTTTTTTCTTCTTTCCATATCCTGTCATACATTTTTAACAGAATTTTAACTGATGCTACCGATTTCCATATTTGAGCAGCCAAATCCTCATGGAACATCAAAAGAAGAGCAGCTCGCGCACTATTCGATGCGGCATATTCTCCTCTTTCTAACAGGTGTTTTTTATTTCCGATTCGTTTAGTTTCCGGGGAGAAATCATCATAACTCATTTATTTAGCTAACCTCAGGCTGTACCCGAAAAACTCGAAATTTGTATTTCAAACCCGTAAACTCTCCTCTGCTTTGTAAAATTGATGCTAGCTCATAATACCGTCTTGGTAGTCTCAAACTCCGAATGATTATGATGTTTGATGCAATTGTGGCTGAGGTGGGCCTGCCAAAATCCGATGGTTCTGTTAAAAACTCTTTTAAAATACGGCGAGCTACGAGAAAGAGAAAAAAGTAGCACTGTACTCTATAAGGTTTACTCTATCGAATCGTTATTTGAACTCCTTCTGAAGATTGATATGAAAGTTTCAAAAAATTGTGAAACTTGACCATCTCAAAAAGCATGGGTCGCAGATTTTGGTTATTTTCTGAAAGCTCATTGACTGTTCTGCAACAATTCCATAACCATTAGAAAGAGAGTGAAATTCTGCATCGAATGCCTTTAAAGTGTCTTAGAAACCTTTCTTCCGTCAAATGTGGTGCCCGTTTGAAAAAAGCGAAATTACTTTTGAAACGACCTAATATTAGGTTGGCTCGAAAGTTCTTGCGTAATTCAAACAAAATTCAGTAACTTTTCAATACCTAAACCTAAATTCACAGTTTTGTTTTCTAAAAATATTAGAAGGCTTGCGCTCTATGACTGATGTTCAAGCGTGAGCTCCATGAGCTAAACATCGAGAACGAAGCTCTCAAATATGGGGCTTCAAAATTTGCGATTTTGAGTTTGGTGCCAGAAAATCGTAGAGAGTCGCTAGCTAGCTGAAAAAAATCTGTAAATTGCTTACACAGCAGAAGTTCATATGTTATTTTGGAAGGCTTCGATCTTGTGCGATGAAGCAAGAACAAAAAACTCGTGAGTTGTCATTTTGCGGAAAAAGTCCCCTCATTACCGCAGTTTTTGTGCGAAAACAATTTTTTACACTCCAAAAAACGTCGCAAGGTTCTAAATAGGCACTATGTCTTATTTATGGTTGCAAACTGTGTTTTTGTGGAAAACTTACAGCGATAAGGGGATTTATCCTGTAAGATGACGAATTCCACAATTTTTTTTTTGTTTTCGCATGTCCATGCGATGTTAAAGCCTGCTAAAACAACGCATAGACTGTTGTGTAGGTAATTCCTACAGACTTTTCTTCGATTAGCTGGTGGCTCTCTGCAATTTTCTGGCACCAAACTCAAAATCGCAAAATTTGGAGCCCCATTTTTGAGAGCTTCGTTCTCGGAAGCTAGCTCATGGAATCCTGCGCTTAAACGTCCTTCATGGAGCGCATTCCTTCTAATATTTTTAGAGAACAAGGTTGTGAATTTAGGATTAGGTACTAAAAAGTTATTGAATTTTGTTTGAATTACGCAAGAATTTTCGAGCCAACCTAATCTTATATATTAAGCTGAATGTCTGTATGTCTGTATGTATGTCTGTATGTACGTATGTTCCGAATAGAAAATTCCATTTCTGAACCGATCGGGACCAAACTTGGCACACATACACTTCGGGCCCCGGCGGGTGTCATAGGCTACTTTTCGTATCGATCGATATCGATTTTATCGATTTTTTGCAAAATTTGAGCTACGGGCTGGGAGTTGGCACAGGGGGGTAAGTGAGCATGGGGATTCCGAATACAATATTAGTTTTTGAAATCGTGCATTACTTTTATCGATTTTATCGATTTTTTTTTGCAAAGTTTGAGCTACGGGGCTGGGATTTGGCAGAGGGGGGTAATCGAGCATGCTGATCACCCCCCCCGTGGGGGGGGGTGATCAGCATGCTCGATTACACCCCTCTGCCAAATTTCAGCCCCTAGCTCAAATTTTGCAAAAAATCGATAAAATCGATAAAAGTAATGCACGGTTTCGAAAACTAATATTGTATTCGTAATCAGCATGCTCGATTATCTACCTGTGCCAAATCCCAGCCCCCTAGCTCAAATTTTGCAAAAAATCGATAAAATCGACATCGATCGATAACGAAAAGTGGACTGTGACACCCGCCGGCCCGAAGTGTATGTGTGCCAAGTTTGGTCCGGATCGTTTAAGAAATGGAATTTTCTATTCGGAACATACGGCGGAGCCGGGTAAGCCAGCTAGTAACATATAATATATCAAGTTACTGCATAACTTCTGTCCGATTTGAATTTTTTGAGTTCAGAAGGTCATAACTTCTCTCAAAGTCAACTTTTTTCCAAGATCTTAGTTTCTATTTGTTAAGCAGTTCCTTGGCTATGAGACACATATTGAGACTTGTGCAAATGCTTGTCAAGGAATAAGCAAGAATGCAAAAAAACTTAACAGCGTTTTTATTCAAACCTGTCTTTTTTGACATAGCAACGCTTCCTTATGAGAATTGCTAAACATCTTATCTAATAATGGATAGATAGAGAAGTTTTCGTAGATTATTATGCAACTTAGAAGAACCCATAGGGTCTGCGTTGCCAAGAGAATTTTGGCCGAGCAAAAAAGAAGCCACTTTTTACCCCATTTCAGCACATGTGTGCATGCCTATTTACGAATTATAAGAATTTTACAACTGACGTGAGCTCCGAAAAAGGAAAAGGAAAGAAAAAGAAAAAATGGTGGATGGGCCCTGCTAGCTCTTGCTTTGGGTTATCGATTACTTCTATTCGCAGAAAGATATTGCTTGTAAAACATCTATACAAAAAATTAATGTTCGTCAATGAATTTCACTGGCAAGACGTTTTCTTCATGGAACTGAGCTTCTGCATATACTAGCCTTCTACACCCTTATTCCGCAGCCAATGAAAGAACTTGACTTGAAAGGCGCATTGTGGATTTCCTCGCAAAAACATTTTGCTAGGGTGAGAACGTACCTCGGCCATATGGAGATTTTAAGTCCGTAAAACGATAGGGTCGCGTCGTTGTTCCAAGTCAGCAAAGCGAAGTCGCTGATTCGGTTAGATTGCGACGATTGACGAAAGGAGTATGCCGGAGGAAATGCTGAAATGCAAGACAATCGGCATGCAATGTTGTAACACTTATCTTGTCGGGAGAATCGGTAGGCAATGAATTCGCTTGATTTACGTCCGGCCCTTTGGTAGTGGTGTCGATCTTATTGACAAATCATGGATGTTGCCTCTTTTTATGATAAAATGTTGGATTTATCAGACATCAAGGCTAGTAGGAGTTCATTCATTAAAATATATGCTTGCAAAGCAGCCATGTCGAATGAGGTATATACCGGTAAGCCATGAGATTGTGTTTTACTTTGAATATCTAAGCTCCTGACTCTTCTAGAAAGCAAAGAAAAGCCTGTGGGAAGTCAGGATATATTCGGCTCGCAAGAGGATTCTAGATCATCAGTATCTACCGATGTTCGATCTCGGAAGAACTAAGAGTTTTTATCTAGGTTCTTCGCACGTCACGAGGAAGTAGTAGTAGTTCTGCTACCTTACTGCACTGCAGCCCAGCCAAGGTTACGCACGATCAGTCTTGGAAAATAGGAGTTAAGCTTGCTTTAGGAAGGATTGAGGCTAATTTGGAGGGATATATATGTGCAGCAACTGCCAAAAATAAGGCTGGGTAGATTGACTTCTCTAGAAGGAGCAGCACCAACGAAAGTTATCTTAGATCAGGGTAATTTTTGTTTGTCACGAAGTTCTATCACCTAATAAATTTGGAAGCTTCTGCAATAATCACTCATTTCATAAAAAGCAATAATCACTCATTTCATAAAAACTGTGATTCCCTTTCAGCGTGATCATCTTCTATGTGTGACAGCTCCAATCTGTGACCGTCCATTACCAGTTATCCATGTTACTTGTTACCAGTGTTACCCTTGCTACTATTACTCGTGTTACCAGTGTTACTAATGTTACTAATGTTACCAGTGTTACTAGTTTTGATAATGTTACTAGTGCTACCGCTATTGCTCTTGAGTGGTGAAATGACCACCAATACAGTCTCATTCTTTCAGACGGGTAACATGAATAACACGAGTAACACTAGTAAAACTGACAGCACGAGCGACACTAATAACACGGGTAACACTGATAACCTAGGTGACACGGGTAACACAAGTAACATATGGTCAAAGCCTAACACAGCGAATTTCGATGCATAGCAGCTTTCTCATCATCTATATATATATATATATATATATATATATATATATATATATATATAAAACTCAAAAATTGTCAGTTTGGAGGGTATGTGCGTTATAGAAACGCGCGCCACTCAACCGATTCAACTGAAACTTTGCACACATATGTTTTCGACCCTTGCGCAGATGATAGGCTACTTTTTGCGGCGATTCGTTGGGCCCTTCTATCGATTTATTGATTTGTTTACATTTTCCTAAGGAATTGAAGGGTTATCATGTTCAATCAAGCATTTTCCATACTCATGTAAAGGAGGCCGGTGAAGCTCATTTTCACCTAAGGATTACGAGAATGCGGTTTCCAAGCGGACGTCCCAAGGTAAGTCATCCATACCATATAGGGCGGGGGGGGGGCTCGCAGTGCGGTGAACCATGGCCCGGGCTGGACCGGGAAAGCCAACTAGTAACTTATAATAACGGGCTAAGGATGTTTACGTGACTTTGTGTGTCTGTCTGTATGTGTGAGAGTGTGTCTGTTACGAAATTCGTAGAGCGTGTTCCAGCCAACCTCCTGGGCTCAAATTTGGCACAGCGCGTGCTACCCGCATGAAAGTCCAACGCGCAAAAGCACGAGCAGATTCGTTGAATGGATCCCTCAGAAACTGCGCGCCAAACGGATCCACTTTGCATTTGAGCCGCAAAATTGGGTCCGTAATTCCACTTTTTGCAGAGTCGTGGATGTTTATGCCATGTAAATATGCAAGCCATGGACTTAGGCCCAAAAAAGTGTTCAAAAGTCCATTACTTTACAAAAACGGCGCCAAAAAGTATTGTTTGCGTAAATGGCCATTTTGCCAAGCTTTTATCAGCACATTTTACGAGATTTTTGCACAAAGATGTAGCTCACGGTGCCTGCTGTTCTTATTGCAACTGTCAAAACCATGGGTAATCAAAAACCTATAAAAATTTGCGTTTGTTCTCCTGCAAAAAGTCTCACCCACGCGAAATCACCGATTTCACCTAGAAAAGCTTTTGGAATGAGTAGTTGTTTACATTTTGTCCGTGATAGTCGGCAATGCTCGGTGAGTTCCAATGCCATCATTATGCGAGAATAAGTAGGGCCTAGATAGTAGAGCGAGCCAATGGAGCCTCTGCGAAGCAGAGGGACGCATATTGGACGAAAGCAGAAGCGAATCCGTTGAGCGGATACCTCAAAATCTGCCCGCGAAAACGGTCCACATGGGTTTCGACCCATATCCAGTTATTGCAAAGGTATGGCTCTGAATCCATGCAAGTCTGTGACCCATAAGCTTCGATGCAAAAAAGTTGCCAAAGGATCTACTGTCATTTAAACGGCGCCGAAAAGAGATAGCTGAGTGAATCCTCGGTTTTTCGGTCTTCTACTCAATAATCGGAAAAAATTTTTGCTCAGAAATGTAGCACACAGTAGTCATTGTTTTCGAGCAGCTACCATTTCATTAGCAGTTCTATAACTATTTGAAAAACGTTTTTATACTTCCTTTGCCAGAACTTTTTTCGTCTAAGCTCACCGACTTCTCATGGCAGAGCTTCTAGAATGTACATTTTCTAGCACTTCATTTGTAACATTCGGCTTTCCTAGGTAAGTTTCATTGCTAATTGAGAGTGGGAGAGAAGCAAGACTTAAGTAGAACTGTACGCGCGTGAATGTGTAGAAACGTAAGCACAGCTCCGTAAGCCTTGCTCACTTCTGTAAACGCAGCCAATGCGGTTCTGTGAGGTATACGCGCCGCGTCAAGCATTGTATTTATTGGATTCCATTCTCCACAAACAAAATGAATTAAAGTCTTTCTAAGCCACATTGTCTTCAAGCACGTAATCAAGCACACGGGACGGGTAAGAGTAAAGATATTGAATTTATGCATGCACAGCCTAGCTTGCGTAAAGAAGTGTTTCAAGTCATATGGCACCATCAGTTATTCCGGTTAAACATTTATGCCCAAAATATTATTGAATTCCATTTGAGTATGTATGATTCCAATCATCATCTATATATATATATATATATATACTAGCCGGCGATCCCGGTTTCACTCGAGACTCCAGTTTAGCTAAAAAGAAGTTACTTATACTTATGCTTTTAAGCTTATTCTGCGCAAAAAGACTGAAACGAATTACCCGCTTTTCCCGACATTGAGATTAAAATGAGCTTTACCATCCCCTGACTACATGATCATAGCAAAATGATTGGTTTGAGCATGTCAAGCCTCATTTTCCCAGATGTAAGTAAACAAATCAACAAATCAATAGAAGGGTCTAGTAAATCGCCGCGAAAAGTAGCCTATGTTCCGCGCCGGGGTCCAAAACATAAGCGTGCAAAGTTTTAACTCATTTGGTCCACTCAGAAAGATTTGTATAAAAAACATACTTATTAACAGACAAACACACTTTGAGTTTTATATATATAGAGATATATAAAACTCAATGTCTGTGAGGATGTTCGTTTAGTTGTTCGTTCGTTATAGAAACGCGCGCCACTGAACCGATCCGGCTGAAACTTCGCACACGTATACTTTCGACCCCGGCGGTGGTTTAGAGCTACTTTCCGCGGCGATTCGCCGAGCCATTCTATCGATTTATTGATTTGTTTACTCAAACCTAAGAAAATGAAGGATCATCATGGCAGCCGATCATTTTTACATATAAGCATGTAAGCAGGGGCGGTAAAGTCCATTTCAAACTCAAAGTTGGTAGGGCGCGGCAATTAGTCTGAAAGCGCTTTATGCGCATGTTAGAAGAAATCTAGAGGCGTAAGTTTACAAGTTCTGTTGGCTTAACTAACTTGAAGTCTCGGGTGAGACCGGGGCCACCAGCTAGTTACTTATAATAACGGGCTAAGGGTGTTTACGTGTGTGTGTGTGTGTGTGTGTGTGTGTGTGTGTTGTGTGTTGTGTGTGTGTGTGTGTGTGTGTGTGTGTGTGTGTGTGTGTGTGTGTGTGTGTGTGTCTGTCACGAAATTCGTAGAACGTCTTCCAACCAACCTCCTGAGCCCAAATTTTGCACAGCGCATGCTACCAACATGGGAGTCCGCTATACAAAAGCACGAGCGAATTCGTTGTGTGGAACCCTCAAAAAAGGCGCGTCAATCGGATCCACTTGGCTTTTGGCCACTAAAGTTGAGCCTGTAGCACAACTTTTTGCAAAGTCGCTTTTACGTTTGACAAGTTAATGTGCAAGCCATGGACTTTAGCCGAAAAAATTGATCTAAAGTTTGTTACTTTGCGAAAACGGCGCCAAAAAGGATGGTTGCGTACATGTTCAATTTGCCAAGACTTACCCAATCATTTGAGAAAATTTCTGCACAGAGTTGTAGCCCACGGTGATTATTGTATCTTATGGCGAAATCCAAGCATGAAAAGTCCAAAAACTAATCCAAATTTGCATTTGTTCTTTTGGAAAAAGTTTCATTCAAGCGGAGTTACCGATCTTATATGGAAAAGCTATTGGAATGAATAGTTGTTTACAAATCTTTCGTGATAGTCGGAATAGCGCGGTGAGTTTCAATGTCATTATGATGCGGGAATGAGTAAGGCGTGCAGATAGTAGCACCAGTGCGAGCCTCTGCGAAGCAGAGGTGACGCACTGGTTTTATATAATCAAGCCTGGTAGTTATATGGAAATTCAGTTTCAGTAATTATGTATAGGACGTACCAACCACCATCGGTCGTGGGTACCCAGGAAGAAACAGCACGCGCGCGACGCGAGCAAGCGAGATTGCACTCGAGCGCGGAAGCTGGCCTTTTTCTCAGACTCAAGACGTTGATTCATCCCGTGTTTACTTTACATTCTCTTGTTAGGCATTAGGTTTCGTACTTGTACCAATTACTAGACTTTTCAGATGGTGGCGCTGTTCGAATGAAGAACATTTAAGAAGGGGCGGTGAAGCGCATTTTTTGTTCATGCATAGCAGAAAATTATCATCTATTCCGAGATGAAGAGATTCGACCGCGCTTTGCACAAGTATGATGTGAAAATGTTACTTGTTACCCCATTTGGTTTGTTTACTACTAAAGATTAGATGAGAAACAAGTACAAGTTTGTTAAACAACGTGTGCAACGTTCTGAAGTCTCCTAATCCCAGAACTGGCATATAATTAAAGTGTCAAATTCAAGTCACAGTCGCAGAAAGCCGAATTATTTTTTCCATCATCGATTTGGAAGAAAAAAAGTTTCAGTGTGCTTATGCTTCTCATTTCGCATGAAATATAGAAAACAAGATATCCAACATGCAATTGAATACGAAATGAAGTTCATCAGCTACGCAAGAGAAGCATTTGTACTAGGCTGTTGCATAAGTTCTGTCCGATTTTTTTGCCTCATGTTTGAAGCAGCTGTTCTAAGAGAATTTCATCTCTAATTCGATACGGTTGGTATCATTGAAAAGTGCTTTCCTTGCGCTTTCTAAGGCATACCAGAATTCAATAAAATTCTTAGTGTACGGAGATCACAGGCCTAAAATCTCTAAGTGGCCGAGGTACGTTCTATCCCTAGAAATATGTCCTTGCGAGGATATCTCCACAATGCGCCCTTCAAGTCAGGTTCTTTCATTGGCTTCGGAATAAGGGTATGGAATGCTAGTATATGCAGAAGTTCGGTCCCATGAAGAATACGTCTTGCTAGTGAAATTTATCCTCGAACATAAATCTTTGGTATAGATGTTTTACAAGCAATAACTTTCTGCGAATAGAAGTAATCGACAAGCTCAAAGTTGGAGGTGCTAGGGCAAAGCAAGAGCTAACAGGGCCCATCCACCAATTCCTTTTCGGCGCTCACGTCAGTTGTAAAACGTTCGTAGTTCATAAATAGGCATGCACACATGTGCTGAAGCGAGGTCAAAAAGTGGCTAATTTTTTGTTCGGTCAAGAAAATCTCTCGGCAGCGCAAACCCTATGGGCTCTTTTATGTTGCATAATAATCTACGAAAATTTCTCTATCCATCCATTATTAGAAAAGATGCCTATCAATTTTCATAAGGGAGCGTTACCATGTCAAAAAAGACAGATTCGAAGAAAAACGCTGCGAAGTTTTTGCATTCTTGGTTCTTCCTTAACAGAGATTTGCGCAGATCTCAATATGCATTTTTTAGCCAAGGGACTGCTCAACACATAGAAACTAAGACCTTGGAAAAAAGTTGACTCTGAAAGAAGTTATGACATTTTAAACTCAAAAATTCAAATCGGACAGAACTTATGCAACAGCCTAGTACAAATCAGCTAAAAAAAAAGAACGATATTCAACTCTGGCCACAGATACAGCGACGTTTTCGCGCTAGGTACTAATTTTGCTGCCCGCGTCGCGCTTTCGCAGCCTCATCCCGTGGGTACCCACGGCCGATGGTGGCTGGTATGCCCTATATATACTTGATGCGGACCTATTTTCAGAGCTCCCTTTTCAAAGCTTCTTCCTATTGGGCCCCAAATTAGGTTGCGTTTTTTCGTATGTGCAGTCCATGAGATGCAGTTCACGCGCAAGGTTTCGATGATGAGGGATTAATCGAAGTCACCAAGATTGTTTGAGGATGGACATGCTTCAACAACTGCAGCCCTTCCGAAATGCCTTCTTTTCGGCTGCTTGCTGTGCCGTGGACGCGTTTCGCCGTTGGGCATCTTGTCGTGAAGAAAAATGCCACTCTTGTGTTGCCAAAGCGGAAGGAACCGTTTGCCATGCAACCTCTCGTTAACGCAGAATTGAACCGCCACGAGAGTGCTATTACCGTCCTCACATAGGGCCATACCGCTCACATCGTACCTGTCAGGAAATGGAGCAGCACTCGTTAAGAGGAAGACTGGAGCAGGCGCACATGCGTGCCGGCTACTCCATCAAGCTAACATGCGCTGAAGCTGAACCAACATTCACTGTTAACAAGGACATCGCCACCAAACGAAATGAAGGAACCGTTTTCACCAACTCCTCGCGCGGCGCGTACTTGCAATGTAGAAATGGATGACGAAAGCAAGGAGTTGGTGACCATCTACTCGTCACGAGGACCCTTTTGCTACTTAAGAAACGACCAGAGGTTGGCGTTGCCAAGGTTGTAGAACCTCATGATAGCCTCCACGTTTCGCGCGCTCTCTAAACTGTCTCTGACCCCGGCAACGTCGGCAAATTCGGCAACCGTCGCCGGCAACCTATGGCCGTTCCCTTACCGTTCGTTGTAAGAAGTGCAACTGAAATCCTCCAATTGCTTATGAGCAATGTTACCGCCGACGTTGGTGGAGCCATTGCCTATCTGGATGATGGCGCTTAGTGAAAAGACTCACGAAAATCATGCGAGACGTCTTCAGTGTGTTCCAACATCTTTGATGCTATGGAGTATTGCTTGTTGTGAAGACCGCTTTGCTAAGTCCAGTATAGTTTTTTCTCGGATTTGTCATCGCGCGGGAAGGTGCCCCAACCTCCAGAGGATTGCCGCCATCACCCATGCCGCCACTACCCGGAAGTATCGGAGAAGGTCGTCTGCCTCGCAAACCGTACCCTGACGGCCACAGAAAGAAACTACTTATAAATTGAGAACGAAAAACTGGCCCTAGTAACCTGCCTACATCCATAAACAAAGATTCAGTCTGCTAAAGGACCACCGCTTTCACTCATTACTTGCAAGGAAAGAGAGGAGTGCCTGCCTACACTGCCAACCTTCTACACGATGGTCGATGTCGCTATTCGCCAGGATTTTGACATCAGGTACTGCTCTGCGGCAACATCGGACAGGCCTGTGCTCTCCCGACTGCTTTCCTGCCGGAGTGGGCCGGGCGAGGACGTCAGCACTGCAACTTACAAGGTGATCTCACCGCCACTTACGGAGAATCACTTAATCACTTGCAAGTTGTCGTGGAAAACATAGGGTCTGCCTTGGAAAAGGACAAAATGCTGATGAAGCTGCTCAATTGTGAAGACGAATGCACTTCCCAAAACGCCGTTGTTCATCCAAAATCCAATGGAAGAGACTTTCTACCTAGAATACATGTATTTTTCTTGGATCCAGACCTGTCATACTAAGGGTTCGCTAAGGAAAATTCTCTGCATGAGGCACCATGGACACTCTGGACAACCCCGGATGGCTGCTCCCTAGCAACTATGTCTATGGCCTGGTATCGAAGAAGACGTCAGTAAAATGTGGCTGCCAGTATTACCAACTTGCCGCTAAAAATCCTGTGGAAGCTTTTCTGCCGCTGAACCGCTCTATGGACACCTGCCTTGTTGTCGTGGATACATACTCTCCTAGCTTGAAATGGTAGAGATGCAATCGACTATGTCACAAGCATTCACGAAGGTGTTCGTTAAGATTTGGCAGATTGGGTTTCCGAAGATGCTTGTTCAAGACAATGGCACTCAATTCTCTTTCGTTTGAGGATTTTTGCAGGAAGTACAGGATTTTAATCCTGTACTTCCTGCAATAAATAAATAAATAAATACGTTCAAACGCCGCCATATTACTCGGAGTCGCTGAACGCTCCGTCTGAATCTTTGAAAAAGGATTGTTATAGCTGCGAGGAGAGAAAAATCTTTCAGAAGCCTTGCCGAAGCTTTATCACCTGCCTGTCTTCGCCTGATAATCGTTCGCCGGCCAAGATGTTTCTTGGATCAACAAAACACTCAGCTCTTGCATTTGGTCACTGATGCTTGCTACATCAATCTATTTTCCATCAAAACCGGCGATGAAATCCACGTAATAACCGGCTACATGGAGCAAAGAAAAGGAAAGTCAAACTTGAAGGCTTCTACTATCTAACAAGGAAGCCTACTTGGACTCCACGAAGCGTACGATAAGGATTGGGCGCTTACTCTTGGAAGTCAAGCGGTTTGTGCGAAGAGGCCATGCCAGTCAGCTATGCCCTCGCGCAGTTCCCGACGCCACTAGCACGCTGTTGAGAGAGTTGAACCTTTTGATTTTAAGCTCCATAGACCGTCTACTCTCGCGGTGTCCATGTTCCCGCTTTCAAGACGCTAATTTCACTTATGGAAAAGAAATCTCGATATCAGCGCAGCCATTGCCGAGCCCACGGGCGCTGATGTCTTCGCCACTCCACCGTCTACGCCGCCATTTCGCCGTCGGTCGCAAAGGACACAACATATAGATATGGAGTAATACTAACTTACGGACTCAGATATGGAGTAATAACTTTATATTTGTATCATTATAACCTTGTATTCTCCAAAGATCTGCTGGTGTTGTACTGACTTACGCGCGGGGAATGAGCGACATTAAAAGGAGCTCTTTCAAAGATGATTCGTCCCTAGTCGTCATCAGTACTTTAGTCGTAACCAGCAACTAAATCTATTGTTCAAAGTGCGTAACCCTTGTCGTGCGGTACTACCACTACGAGGACAACTAGGAACTACGACAATGTGCAGTGCTCGTGATTATTCCTCGGCAATGTCTTTCTAAAAAAGCTTGTTTATTTTTAATCGAGGTTGACGCAAATAAAGCCTGACTATTAAACATGCGTCATTGACTCCCGCAGGACAAAATCAACTTGCAGAAGCTTGAAACTCTTACTCTGTTTTAGGGTGGAGGCAAGAGGAGCAATAGCTGGAGAGTGTCAGTAAGCTGCACATTTTTATCCTCATTTCTATCCATTTGTAAGTAGAAATTCAAAGCATTTTCTTCCTTTTTGCTTTCACTCGCACGGGAGAGTCAAGCAGGATTGTCTGCTTCAATAAGGTGTGAAAGTACGTCAAACTATTAAAAGGGAGCAAAGGTGAAACTGAGAAAGCTTAAATTGTTTTCTTGCAACTGCACTACCAAATAGCACTTACCAGTGAGCTTCGAGCATTCAATTTCAACTCCTCATCACTAAGACCAGAATTCCCGTTCAACCGTTTCATTATGGAAGAAGTCACATCATAAAGATTCTCCGTCGAGATTGAAAAGACAAACAGCTTTGGCTCAGTGAGAGCACACGTATTTGCGAAAGATGCACTTTGTGAGGCAAATAGTGCATCGCCATGCGTTGAGAGCAGCGGTGGGCAACTGCTATGGTTCCTCTTGCACCACGCCCCTGAAAGAGTAGTAGTGATAAGCTCTTACCTCTACTTTGAAATATTAGATTTTGATATCTTACTTCAGGGAGATAATTCGAGAAAAAAACCAACTGTGTAGCTTTTCGAATTTTCGCTGTTTTAAACTTGAATGAAAAGAAAAAGCAACAAATTGATCTTAAAAGCAGTATGTGGTTTTCGCCTTGGTGCGACGGACCTGCACTGATGAATTTTTGTCATACCGGTAGCGCCGACAGGTGCCTTTACGCTGCTT